AAGGAAACAAGGAAAAATGAAATAAATTAGAAAGAAAATTAAAATTTTAAAACATTTAACCATAATTTCAAATACTCTTGTCACAAATAATACAAGTCCCCACAACTAGAAATTAATGCTCTGAAATCCTCCAACATTATCTTGAGAAAGCTCAGCTTCAGTTACATAAAACTTTGTGTTGAGCGCAAACAGTTGTACAGGTGCATCCTGACCTATATGTATTTTTTTTTAGTAACTAAGTCTCAAAGTTGTCAGTTACGGCATAGGAAAAAAAAAACTATTTTCCTGAGTACTCATTCTACACAGAAGGAATCAACTCCTTACAAACACATTTTATGTATATAAAAAGCTAATGCACCAACCAAAAATGCCAAACACTCTCTTGACTAATTCTACTTCATTTCATAAATTCCAGTGGAAGAAAGGAAATTCTAAAGCAAAATACGTTTTTAAATGCTTAGCCCGTAACAATTCAAATTTTGCTTAAACTACTTAACTTTAACTTACTTAGCTTAAACTAATGTGTATCAACTAAGAGCAGAGTATTTCTCATTACTCCACGTTAGCATTTGCAGTTATGAAAACTTTTCGTTTTCACAAGAAAATCCCTGTCTGTAAAACTCACATCCCAGTCTTTTAAATAGGTACAATCTCTTTCTCTGAAGAGAAAGGAAAGGAACTATAACAAACAAAGAGCAAAGACATAGATAGCAAAACTCTAAAGAAAAAAATGAATGCAAAGTAAGTCTTTCTTCCTGAGAAACTCCAAAGCGGATGCAAACTGCAAGGCAGATGCAAACTGCAAAGCAGATGTTACTCCTTAACCAAGTCTCAAGCACACAAAACTATATAAAAGTATATTGAGTACAATACGTAATTCAAAATAATTACATAAATATGCTTTGCAATTACTTAAAAGTATTATAAAGAACACTTTAGCCAGGCACTGGTGGCTCACGCCTGTAATCCTGAGATCTGAGGAAGCCAGACCAGTTAGGAAAGTCCATGAGACTCTTATCCAATTAACTACCAAAACAAAAAAATTTAAACAAGTGGAACTGTGGCTCAAGTGTCTACTAACCTTGGGTAAAAGCAGCTCAGGGACAGCACCCACATGGAGGTCAAGCCCCAGGAACCAAAAAAAAAGGATACTTTGCTGGGCAATGTAGGTTGAAACTGTTGTAATCCTGGCTATAGATGATCTAGAGAGAGGGTGGGGAGTTTGTTAGGCTGCATCTTAACCAAGGGCTAAAACTGTGGTTTTTGTTGGTCATCCCAGTGACATGAGAAAACACAAATGGGAAGATCACACAAGGCCAGCCAAGGAAAACTCTTCTATCTCAAAAATAGTTAATTCAAGGAACTGGGAAGGTAGCTCAGTGGTAGAGCGCTTGCCTTGCATGCCTGAGGCCCTGGGTTCGATTCCTCAGCACCACATAAGAAAAAAGAAAAAAGCCAGAAGTGGTGCTGTGGCACAAGTGAGCACTGGCCTTGAGCTGAAGAGCTGAGGGACAGGCCCAGAGTTCAGGCCCCATGACCGGACCCCCCCAACCAAAAAAAAAAGTTAATTTAAAAAGGAACTGCTAGGGCTGGGAAGGTGGCTTAGTGGTAGAGTGCTTGCCTTGCATGCATGAGGCCCTGGGTTTGATTCCTCAGCACCACATAAGAATTTAAAAAAAAGGGGGGCGGGGGGGCTGGGAAGGGATGTGAAGGGTAAACAAAGGAGGAGGCTACAATGCTTGATAGGAAATGTACTCATTATCTTGCCCAGGTAATTGTAACCCCTCTGTACAGTATGTTCACAATAAAAAAAAAAAAAAGAATTTAAAAAAAGGCCGGAAGTGGCACTGTGGCTCAAGTGGTAGAGGGCTAGCCTTGAGCTGAAAAGCTGAGGGACAATGCCTAGGCCCAGAGTTCAGGCCCCACGACCCGACCCCCCCCAAAAAAAAAAAAAAAAGGAACTGCTAGAGTAGCTCAAGTGGTAGAATGCCTGCATAGAATAGTATGAGAATTTAAGTTCATATCCCAGTATTTATATGGGGGGAATCCTTTCATTTAGAAGATTTTTCTTCTGGACTATCAGATGAGGTTTATTACTGGTCCCTGCTTTAGGTATGGCATGGCGGCAAAGACTACAATGTATAAATAGTGAGAGCATGCCACCAAGTCTCCCTGCATACCCAAATAGAGAACATACTGTTGTCAGATTTCCTATTCGTTGTAGGCTGGTTCCTGCATGTCCTCTATTATCTCTCCTTATTAACCATTTCCTTGTTCAATAATGAATAAGAAAAGACTATAATTACTATAATCAATCTTGGACTTTTTTGGGGGGGGAGGGTCAGTCATGGGGCCTGAACTCTGGGCCTGGGCGCTGTCCCTCAGCCCTTCAGCTCAAGGATAGCGCTTTACCACTTTGGCCACAGCACCACATCCGGCTTTTTCTGCCCAGGTGGTACTGAGGAATCGAGCCTAGGGCCTCATGCATGCAAGGCAAACACTCTACCACTAAGCCACCTCCCTAGCCCCTCAATCTTGTACATTTTTAGAGACATGCTAAGATTCAAAAGTCTTTAACACAAACTGTTGGTTCTAGTCAAATTGCTGTGTGGAGGGGAAGGGAAAAAACAAATCGTTTAAATAGGGATACAGATGGATCCATTGAAACAATGAGATGAACAAGTCGTTATATGGAAAAATGAACTTTACAACTTTGGTGGGGGGGGAGGACTGGGTGGGAGGGGCCGGAAGAGGGAAGGAGAAGGGAGGATGGGAAGGGATGTGAAGGGTAAACAAAGGAGGAGGCTACAATGCTTGATAAGAAATGTACTCATCTTGACCATGTAATTGTAACCCCTCTGTACAGTATTTTCACAATAAAAAAAATAAAAATTGTTGTGTGTGACTTTGTAAGAAGTGGTAAAATCAATTCAAAATTAGTTTAACTCCTCAATTTATGTTTGGGAAAATCATGAGAACAAATTAGTGAAAAGATGAGTTTAAAACTCCTAAACAGGGCTGGGAATGTGGCTCAATGGTAGAGCGCTTTCCTGGCATGCATAAAGACCTGGGTTTGATTCTTCAGTACCACATACACAGAAAAAGCCAAAAGTAGCGCTGTGGCTAAAGTGGGTAAGTGCTAGCCTTGAGCAAAAGAAGCTCAAGTGGGTAAGTGCTAGCCTTGAGCAAAATAAGCTCAAGGACAGTTCATAGGCCCTGAGTTAAAACCCCAGCACTGGCCAAAACAAAAAACAAAAAAACTCCTAAACAAATACTTGGTTCAACTAAATACTTTTTCCCCCTAAAAGGTTTTACTTTATTCTCTATGATGTTCTTATTACCTAAACAGTCTGAAAAAATCATCTAACAAAGCCACAAATTTCCAAGTTTACAAATTTCAGACCAAGTACATAAGCAACATAATTTTCTTTTTTTTCTTTTTTTTTGTCGGTCATGGGGCTTGAACTCTGGGCTTGGTCGCTGTCCTTGTGCTCTTCAGCTCAAGGCAAGCGCTCTACTGCTTGAGCCACAGCACCACTTCCCGTTTTCTAGCAGTTTATTGGAGATAGTCTCACAAACTTTCCTGCACGGGCTGGCTTTGAACCTCGATCCTCAGATCTCAGCCTCCTGAATAGCTAGGATTATAGGCGTGAGCCACCAGCACCGGCTTGCAACATAATTTTCTAAGCAGTTTTTTTCCCTTTAAACCTGTCAAGTTTCCTGTGTGCTGGGCATTTCATTTTTCCCCTCACTGTTATTAACTGTTCAGTTATATAGTATTCTATGGCACATCAAACATGGAACTGATTATAAGTGAACAATGAGGTTCAATACATGAGAAAACTATCAAGCCCTTTACAAGTTGTATCTCATTTGATTCTCAATTTTCAGTGTAATCCTCATTTTATAGGAATAAAAAGATTAACTTACCCTAATTCAAAATTAATAATTAATAGGATTGGGATTAAGTAACTTTGCAATCTCACTTCAATGTCCTATTTACTTTATTTCCTTAAGTGTTTTTATGTGTGTGTGTGTGTGTGTGTGTGTGTGTGTATAAACTAAATGGATTGTGTTATTAATGTGCAGGTAACTCAAAAGATAGAGCCAAACAAGAATTTAGAGTGTTAGGACCTGGCATGGTGATACAATCCTGTAATCCAAGCATTCTATTAGGGAGGCAGGTCAGAGATCAGAGTTCTGAACTCAAGGCCAGGCTGTGCTACACAACACTCCAAAAACAATAATCTAAAAAAAAAAAAAAGCAACAACAAAAAAACAGGCACATACAACAACAAAACCACAAATAAGCAAAAAGACTTAGATGCCAAGAGGTTTTCCCTTAATAGTTTACTTCTACAAACTGTATCTGCGTTGAAAAAACAAGGGTCAAGAATTCAACTAATTTACAGATAATTACAACTCCGAGGTGAAAACGAAGTAGGAAAGAGTTATAGTAATACTTCAACCAGTGTCCAGATCAATACTATCTACATGTTTGGCCAAAAGAATATGTTTTCTATCTGTTCTATACAAAGAGACAACCATATATAACAATTCAGCCCTTGAAATGTGCCTAGTGTAACCAACTAATTTTGGAGTATACTGTAATTTGATTTAAATTTAATTAGCTGTATGTGGCTAGTTGCTACCATAAAGCACAGGTGAAGAAGACAAAATGCCAGAAAAAGGTAAATACAGAAATTCCTACTGCATTTACATGGACATTTCACTGACAGTCCATTCAAATTAAATGTAATTTACTTGCTTCAGCATCAATTATTAACTGAAACACTGTGAACCTCCAAAAAGATTTAACTTAATAAAGCATTTTATATTCAAGCTCTCTGAACATCTTTTAAAAAAAATCACTAAAACATCAAATATCAATGTCTCAAACTATTAAAATTTTAAAAAATATGTAGGCCTCATAGGTAACAAATTCATTACAAGCGGTAAGTTTAATTCTCAAGTATACAATCAGTAAATGTCTTGCTTACCTTGATTCTCCACTACTGTTTCTCACACTTTCTTCATCACTCTGTCCATTCATTGTAAAATCAAGACGTTTTAAAACAAAATATAAATCTTCCCAGTTTAAAAGATGAATATAAATACTGACTCCTTGAATATCAAAATTTCAGATGTATTTTCTTCAACATTCACAGGTTTGCTGGGACCCTCTTTGATTCACCTAAAGAAAATGTTGAATAGTTAAGAATATTTCCTGTATAAAAACAAAAACAAGCCTCTGTTTAGAACTTCTTGAAATCTACCTTTGACTAAAGCTGGTGATGAGGCTTTTGTATTTAAAGTCTAGTCTTCTACTCAGGAGGCTGCTATCTGAGAATTGTGTGGTTCCAAGCCAGCCCAGGCAGACAAATCCACTAGACTCTGAAATTAGCCAGCAAAAAGGAGCAGTATGACTCAATTAGTAGAGCAATAGCTATGAGGGGAAAAAGCCCACAGTGGGAGGCCTGAGTTCAAGCCCTGGTAGCAATGCACGGGCATGCACACACTCGCGAACACATAGAAACACACACACACATACACAATTACTGGAATATAGTGTGCCACTGCTAATATAGTTTTGATTGAAGAACTTTAAATACTTGTTGAGTGATAAAACTTTCAGACTAATTGCCACTGTGAAGCAATATTTATATAGATTACTTCTAAAGAGGTAACATATACATACTTCCTAAGAGTCTTATTTGGCAACTCTGTCAAATAAAGAGGGATGGAATGGATATGTTCAATGAAATCCTAATTACTATCACCAAGAACTTCGAGACTTTCAGACTAATTGCCACTGTGAAGCAATATTTATATGGATTACTTCTAAAGAGGTAACATATACATACTTCCTAAGAGTCTTATTTGGCAACTCCATCAACTAAAGAGGGATGGAATGGTTCTATTCAATGAAATCCTGATTACTATCACCAAGAACTTCGAGTGAAGTTTTAAAATTGATCACATAAGAAAAGATATGGTATAATCTTAGTAAAACTGTACATGTCCAAACAAACATGTTCTTCAGCAGGTCAGCTGACAGTGGAGAGGAAAAAAAATATTATTTACCAGTTGTGCTACCTGAATTTCTATGAAAAGACTGAAAGGTAACAGAGATAATATACCCTAACAGCTGTTAAAGTAGGAGATTTGGGGCAAAATAATAATAATAATAATGGACCAAGAAGAGAGTATTTTCCACTTCTCAAAATTTCAGTACAGCACTAGAGTCACCTACAAGCTATCCACGAATAAACAAAGGAGATCTCTGGCAGGGGAGGGAGAGGAAGAAGCGGGGGAAGACGTCAGATCCTTCCCCAGCCAGAAAGTGGCGAGACAGCCTGAGCAGAGTACAGTTGTCCTCCGACCTCAGCCAAAAGAATTCATGACTACTTTCAGTTCCAAAAAGCCGGGGGCTTAAACGAGCTTTGGGCCAACACGTTCCTAGTACACTCTGCATCTGGATCCCGATCTTTAGTCTCCAGATCCCAGTCCAACAGCCTCTCTCGGAAGAACAGGTTACCTCTAGAAACTAACCCGGGCCATTCAACATCCATTCCCCCAGGTCTACTACCAATTCCAACTCTCCCCCAAAGAGCTCCACCACGAGATACAACCGAAGTCTCCGACACCCGAAGTGCTCTCTCTCACGAGCCGCTTCCTTCCTCAAAGTCCTCCCTGGAGAAAGTTCACTCCTCTTTTCCTTCTCGCCGGTTCACCTTCCTTTTCGCCCCTCAAAATGGCTTTCTCGGTACAGAGTAACTTCCTCCCCCGCCGCCGCCACCCTCCCTCCCCCGAGGAACACTTCTGCGGTCCTTCTCGGAGCCCGACGGGCAGCTCGGGGGCACACGGACCTCTCCGCTGTCTCCCGTGGGTCTCAACAATGACTCTCTGCCTAAGTCGCTAAACCTTCTTCAATCCTCTACTTAAGTTTGCGCGGCGAGGCTCGAAAGCACGTTACGATCCATCCTCGCTCAGACGTCCAACGCTGGAGCCTTAGCTCTCACTAGCCTTCCTCCGGTCCCCTCGGCCTCCTCGGCCCGCTCCCGGGACTCCATCCCGGCCTCACAGCCGCCCTTCCCGCCTCAAACTTCCCTCCGACCCGCCCCGCGCCCTCCCAGGCTCGCCCGGGCCGCCGCCCCCTCCCCCTCCCCACCGCTCCCCACGTGCTGGGTGCCCGGGTTCCAGGAGAACCGACGCGGGGGCCAAGTACTCGCCAGTCGCGGACTTCCCCGCGCGGCCTGGCCGGCCCTCAGCCCTACAAGCCCGAGCCGGGCCCGCGGGACTCCGGGATGCGCTCGGCGGTCACCGGCCTGCCCCTAGCAGCT